AATTTTAGTTATTGAATTTCGATATACTGATTTATTTCCATTCATACCTATTGTATTAACTAGGTATTCTGATATCCTAATGGTATTATCTCGAAATATACTTAGATACATATCTTCATATTCGTGTTCTTATTCTTAAACATATTCTTGTACTTATTCGTGTTCGCATTCGTATTCGTAGTTGTATTCGTTTCCCTATTCCTACTCCTATTACTATTCGTATTCGTATTCGTAATCGTAGTCGTATTCGTTTCCCTATTCCTACTCCTATTACTATTCGTATTCGTATTCGTTGTCGTATTCCTTTCCCTATTCCTATTCCTATTACTATTCACATTCGTATTCATATTCGTAGTCGTATTCGTATTCGTATTCGTAGTCGTATTCGTATTCATTTTGTTACTAGTTATAGATTCGTTATTTGTTCTGTTTCTAGTTGTAGTTTCGTTATTCGTTCTGTTCCTAATTATAGTTTTGTATTAGTTATGTTTGATTATTAGTATGAATTATTTGTAGATTATGAAACATAATTTAGATTGCAACATTTTATCAAGATTCTATGATTGATTTGAAAGCTAACTTCGTAATTCGAACTATTTGATAAACACAGATATTGATATTAGAACATACATAATGAAATCAATTGAACAGAAAATGATAAGTTGGAGTACAAGATTTCCTTGTACTTTTGCTTGTATTCCCCCCCTGAAAACAGTGAAAACAATTGAAAAAGGGTAGGGGTATGAACTCACCGGACAAAAAACGTGACGATTTCGGATGTTAAACGTTGGTCCGGGGCTTGAAAATGCATGAGGTTCCTATGTATAATGTAAAGATACACATTTGTATCTAATTAGGACTTAGATTAATTATTTGTTAGGGACAAATACTTGTAGTCGTGGAAACACCCCATTACGAGTGTTTAAGGATGTGTAATGGCACTAGGGACTTGGAACTTGAGTTTACTCCCCATGAATAAACTCATACAAGAGTTTTTGGTCTAAAACACCCATTCCCCATGAGTTTACGGCCGTAAACTCATGGTGGGGTGGTTTATGGTGTTTAATGGGTCACAAATGGGTATGGACACTTGGAAATGCTTGGAATAATTTTACCTAAGGCTTGGATTGAACTAAAATCACCAAATATAACACTTAAGGGAGTTTACGGCCTAAGCATGGGGTCTATGGTCGTAAACTCTCTTATCTCCTTGAATAAGTGTTTTTAAGGTCTCAAAATTAATCACATGTGATTCTAAAAATTCCCACAAGCATAGAAATGAATTTTGGGCACCATTTGACACACTTTTAGGAGTTTACGGCCATGGGGCATGTTCTATGGCCATAAACTCTCAAATGTGGGGTTTTGATGTGTTTAAGGTCCTTAAACTATTTTTGGTTGGTCCTATGATTTATTCCAAGGCTTTTGGTGGTGTTGGATGGCTTTCTAACACCTTGAAATCGAGTTTACACCCATTTTTAAGGAGTTTACGGCCCAAGCACATGCCTTGGCCGTAAACTCATATAAATCCCAAAAAAATTATGTTTAAAGTGTTCCAAGGCTAAAGCAATTATTCTAGAAGTCATATCCATGTCTTGTTGGTGTTTAGGAAGGGTTTAAGGGCTTAAAAACCCTTTAATTATGAGTTTACAGCCTAAACACCATCCTTGGCCGTAAACTCATATACAAGTATCCAAATTATAGTTTAAGGCATTCTAGGTCCATTCCATAAAGCCATCTGGCCATATCTAAGGTCCAATTGTGGTTTGGAAGGGTTTTATTGCTCCAAAAACCCATTTCATATGAGTTCACGGCCTAGGACTGTTCCAGGGCCGTAAACTCATGAATGTGGTCCTATTCCATGTTTTGAACTCGAATTTCAAGGCTAAGGAGGTTACATATCAAGTTAGGGAAGGTACCTCAAAGATTTGGAGCCTAAAGTTGATGATTTGGACCCTTAAACTTGGATTTTAGGAGAGAGGTTAGAGAGAGAGTAGTGAGAGAAAGAAAAAGCTTCAAATGATAGCTTGAACATGTTTAAATAGGTCCTAAGTTCGGGACACGGTGGAATTCTACCCGATACCGACGTTAAACAGGGCTTTTGGTCGCACCCGATTAAGTTGCCGTTACCCGATATGGTTGATTTTAGAAATGTTCCGTTCACTAATACGAGGTGTTAGAATGAGTTCTAAGGATATTAGGAAACTCATTAAGTCATAAAATAAAATTCACATTAATGACTTAATTAATTGACGGAAATGGGAAACGAAATCAGAAACGGCGATTGGACGATCGAAACGAGTCGCGAAAAGAGGGTACAAGAAATGAAACAAATTCCGGGTTGTTACAGTTTCGGCGTCGATGAAGCGTATGGTGTTGTTTCTCATGTTAAATCATGAGTGTATTTATTCTCATGGTAAATCATGAGTGTATTGTTCTATCAGAGGTATTATTTCATAGCATCGGTTACAGGCTCATGGTAGCATATTGTTGAAACATTATACCTTGTCGTATACAAGTATTAATGTTAAGTATAAGTTTTCCCCTACTTATACCTTAAGATTAAGAAATGTTTAGGTAAAAAACTTAATTGATAAGTATACAATTATACCTAATGTTGGAGAGTCAAAGTGATACTTTCAAAACTATACTTTTGAATGTGTAAAAATGTGTTATTTTATGGAGTCAAAACCTGTGGACTCACCAACTTTATGTTGACGTATTTTAAAATGCATGTGTTTTTAGGAACTTGAAAAGCGGGTATGTATTCAAACAGGAGAAGTTTTACTAGTATCTTTCTGTTCTTTAAGAAGTATGTCATAGTCGGATATTATGTAATAAATACTAGGAAAAACAATAATGTAACTTTCAGTCATCAATAAAGGTATGTATTTTCTTTAAGTATTGTTCAATGTATGTTATATAACTGTGATACGAAAAATGACGTTACACTACCCGGTGTTTCCGCCGATGGCCGGGGTGTGACACCAAATCTCTTCAAATAAAATGTATGGAGAAATACTATTAAAGTTGTCTTGTACACTCCCATACTCCAACACGCAATAGTGTCAAAAAGAAGGAATTTGTACATGATAGTATTTCTGATAAATTATAGTACCCTGGCATGAGGAGGACTCATACCCTAAAACATAATAATACTCTGGCACAAGCAGCACCTAAGACATATAACTTTGACAAACACTTGGTACATACATAGTACCTTTGTACGTAAGACATACTCCATCAATCATCAATCTCCTTAAACAATGTTTCTACTCTCTATTCCGAATACACGCGTACCCTTACTAAGTACTACCTAATATCCAAACTTAATTGAACTAAGCATCTCTTTTATGTCTTATTCCATCACTAAGAGAGCCTATAATGCTTATAATCAACTTTCCATACTAACTCTGTTTTGGCAACACTATCCTAATTTAGTGTAATATTTTATACATAGTATTAATTATTAACATACATTTATCTTCTCATTTATAGTACTTCTATTATTATTATTTTCATGTGAATACATCTCAACATGTATAGAACCATGTCGGGTTCGCATAGCATATATCATCAAATATACATATAACACATATTTCTAGATAATAAGCATATAACTCACGTATAAACTTTCAACACATATTTTACACTTTTATTAATACTTGTATATAAATCATGTTCAAGAAAGGGACTATGCACTCACTTGTTAAAGTGACAACTTGAAATTTAGGCAACGCTTCGCTTCTAACAATTGTCTTTTCCTGTTATGAAGCCTAGTATTATTATCACTAAGTTTTAGTCTAATATTTAATGTGATTAATTATTAATCTAGATTTATCATTAACTCAATGTATACTTTCATGATCTCCAGTAAGGAACAACTAGGTAGGATTATATCGGAGGTAAGGTCTGTTTTGTATACGAAGTATACTGTTTGGAAATCCTACTTTAAACACCTCACCAAATGACAGCCTAAACATCATCACCTATAAGTAGTCAATCAGTATAAGGACTTGGAATCACTGATAAATCTTGTTTATAGGTTCATAATAACGATAATGAAATTAAACATAAGTTATATTTTAAGGTGTGTAAGCATAAATCAGTTACAATGGAGTTTAGCGAGGAACCAGGCTCTGCCTCAGGAGAACTTCTGAGTTGAAAGCTCTTATTCTCACGGCCATCTGGCACTCCGGGACTCGCTACTAACACACACTATAAGAAAATGGTGATTTAACTATGGAAAAATTCCATAGCTAAAGCTTATAATTCCGTAGGTAAATGTGAATAGCTACGGAATTTGCTATGACACCATTCCATATTAAAATTCTTTGTAGCTAAAGGCTCGTTACGGAATCTGTAGCAACTTTGCTACGGAATTAGCAACAACCTTCTTTCATAGCAAAATAGCTACATACAATTTTTGTAGTAAATCCGTTGCGAAGTACCTACAATATTTTCCATAACACTTCCATAGCTAATTAATTACGGATCATTCCATAGAAAATCCGTAGCAATGTAACTACAAACTAATTTTGTAGCAAATATTCCATAGCAAAATCACTATGAACTAATTTCATACCAACTATTTTGTTGCAAACTCACTATAGACTAATTCTGTAACAAAAATTTTGTAGCAATTTCCATGATGGAAAATTTCCGTAGAAAATTAACTACAGTCTACTTCCATAGCAAAAAAAACATGATGAAATAACTTTCGTAGAAAATACATAGCAATTTAACTATAAAATAAATTCATATATAGATGCATATGAAAATAACTGCGTAGTAGTTTCATAACGAAAAATGGTGACAAGATCAATTCAATAGCAAAATACACACAAATGATAAACGAACAAATAAAGAAATTTTCATAAGTTCTTAATAAAAACATGGTATCATCCAATGTTTTCATACTTTGTCCATAACATGAGATAAATTATTTAAAAACTAAGATGTAGTTACAAATGATAACTGAACAAATAAAGAAAATTTCACTAGTTAGTCGCGTTTCTCATATCATTGCTTGTGTTTCTCACTTCATCCAAGTCGATTCTTTGTTGCACTATAGTTTCCTCTAGCTTTTGGATCTTGGTTTCGAGATGATGTTTTTCATAATTTGTATCTGGTGAAGAACATGTTTTAGAAGAATCTATAGGAAAGATGGATATGCCATATAAGCCAAGCCCATAAATTCTTCTGTTATGATCATGTCCTCCAATAGCCGTATAAAACAACTCATTTTCATCAACTTCCTCTCCTAATAGTTCCAAATCCGCGCGTCTAGACTCAATAAAATCCTATAATGTTATCATGGTATTAATATACAATTTATACAACATCTTTAATTTAATATTATATAATTACTTAAATAAACTTACATGAACTTTTTTCACTTTGTCATCTAGGAATGTCTTTCCGTCATGATCCTTAGTATGAGTAAACATGAATACATCATAGACTGATGGAGCTTTTTCCGTATATTCCTCCTAACATTAGTATCACAAATATATAAAATCTCACCAGAAGATGTATCAAATGAGATATATTAGCATAAATAAAAAAAAATAACTATGATGCCATAACACTCAAGACACACCTCCATTGGATCAATTGAAAATATGATGTTATCATAATGATATGAACCAGTAAAAAACACTTACCATATCAAGAGCAATTTTCTTATGAGAAGCAGATCCTCCATTGTGAGTAGGTGGGGCTTTACCACCCACTACACCTTTACGCCTACTTTTTTTATTCTGCTCTGATTTTTTCTTGAACTCCTCTGAATTCCATATTGCATTCCAAGCATTCCACACTTGTTGTTCTATGTGAGACGGTTTTTCATGGGTTGGATTTCAGTTGCTCATGTCATAGATATACTGTCGATACCTTTATTTGGCCTTATGTTCCCAAGCAGCCTTGATTGAGTTATCAACTGCAACATCCCAATAGCATTTTTTCTACAATACATAATAACATTTGAGTTATCATAAATGACCGATGTTCCTAATAACTGAATAAAGCATTAATAATAAACCATTTACCTGAAACTCTTCCCAATAAAAAATTTTTGTCTCTTTGCTTAAAGTTGCCCACTTATCTCCGTTTGGGTCCACTTTATCGTGGAATGCTTTTGTTATTATGTTTGAACATTTCCCTGAAGGTGATAACCTACATGACAAAGAAAATAATATAATATGGTTGTAATGTTTAACTTTGATAAAAATTATGAAATTAAGCAAATATCTTTAATATATGAAACCCAGTTACAAATTTAACTTACTCCTTTGCCAGAACTGTAATACATAAGCGTCCTTCTCATGTTTCGTTTTGTTCATCAAGCGGTGTTTGTGGGTATACTCCAAATGAAGGATGGAAGTGGTATTGATGAAGGAGTTGATGATGGAGCTGGTATGGATAAAGGGCTAGATGATCTAGCTTGTGTTGATGAAGGGGCTGGTGTGGATGAAGTGGTTAATAGAGTACCAAAAATTAGCGGGGTAGATGTTGTTGATGTGAATGTCGGTGTGGATACAGAGGTAGAGGATGGGGCTGTTGTAGATGAAGGGGTGGATTGTGGGGCTGATATAGTACCAAATAACAGGGGAGTAGAAGTTGTTCATGTGAATGTTGGTGTAGATGTAGAGGTAGTCAATGGGGGTTGTTGTGGATGCAGGGGTGGATCTTGGAGCTGATACAGTATTAAATGAAGGGGTGGATCTTGGAGCTGATTCAGTACCACATTGAGGGACCGAAGTCGATGACAATGCAGGTGAAGAAGCTTCCTTTGTAGACCTTTGTAACAGGCGATGGATATGTTTGTGTGGCCTTGTTGGAACTCCTTTCAATGGGAACTAAGACATCTTTCCTGCTAGCTGCACCATATACATATAGTAAGACAATGAAACATAAGATGAGACCATTACATTATGTTGACTTTACAACTAGGCATGATCTGGTTTGAATAAATGTTCATGGAAGATGACATAGTAGACAAGGTTGACACATATACAACTAGGGTACATCAAAACTAACAAAGAATTTGATAAAATCAGGAAGTATGATTCCCAAAGACAACAAGTGTTAATGACTCATTAAATCAATAAAAATTGTGCCATGCTACATAACGAACATTTAAAATAGGGTAAATGACATATGATGTGAATGTAAAAATTATGTTGCGAAATCATTAAAATTAGCATCTGAACTCATACATGCTTTATAACAGATAAAACAATGAATTTCAAAATTCAACCAGAAGACAATTGTTACTTATTTTTAACAATTTAGTATGAAAAAACTTACGTTAAAATTAATATGTTCTATTAATCTAACAAAGCTTGGTATAATAATGTTACAAAACAACAACTTCAAAATATAATTGTACAAAATATAGAAGTCGATCATATAATTGGTTTTCATATCTGAAATGTCACCAAAATATCGAAGATGAAGAAGATAATTTCAATTGGAGTATACTCAATAGAAGCAAGGATAACACAAATAAAACTCCACTATTAATTTTCCTATTACTGATACTTACAATAGATAAAAATTAGGAAGACAGGGGAAGAAGTAAAATATAGCGTACCTGGGGAGGGAAGCACTCTGATTGAAAGTTGCGAACAAACCTAGAAGACAAGAGGAATGCTTGAAGTGTACTCAAAATTCTCCTCGACGTGGGCAATAAATAGGGAAACGGTTTTGAAAATGTGGATTCAGGGAAATTTGTTTTGCCGGGAGTGGGAAGAAGATATTAAAAATTTTGAATTTCTAATTTGCTTATAACTTATTAAATGTGAAGATGTATATATGAACCAGGAAAAGGTAATACACAAGGTTATATTTGGTATAGATTTAATATAAATGAGGAATACGTCAAAAGTCATATCTTCTTAAATTTTTGTCAAATATAGAAGAGTATTGTACTATTTTTAAGAAATGGAAAGACATAACCATGTTGCTTTTACTGCAGAAAATATAAGTAGGTTATTTTTATTTTTATACATAAATATAAAGTATTCTTTATTTCTTTCAATAAATATAAGCTTGTTAAATTCGTTTAAACAATGTATATACAGGGACCATTTACTAAACTTTTTCTGACATATGGACCATTATAGTAATTTATTTAAATAGGAACTAACATTTACGTAACATTTTCTGACATAGGGAAATGATGTTTCCTGTTTAGTTGATTTGCTGTAATTATGACCAAATTGCCCCTATATGTTGGTTTTTCTGCAATTATTATTAAACTACCCCATTTTGCTGCAATGCAATTATCTGATTAGCACCTGTAACCCATTTTGAAAATAAATAATACTTGCCCCTGCATATTGTTTTTTGATTAAAAATAACTATTTCAACAATATTGACCAAACTACCCCTTTGTTGTGATTTGTTTAACCGTGACAAAATTGCCCCTCATGATCAAAATATTATAGACAAACACTTCCACCTCATGATCAAAATATTGTAGACAAACAAATGGCACATCAGGTGCCAAAAGGAGTCAGGGGCATTACAGTCCACATGGTCAAAAAGTCCATCAAGCAAGGTACCATACAATAAGTCGATGAATTTGGATAGAAGTGATATAATTGTTTATACACAAATGGTCAGACCTATTGGTCTTTTTTGTATACTAATACACAGGTAACAAGTATCTAATTTCGTGTCATCCTGTCAGACTGCAAATATATATCATTTCAAAATTGTTCTTACCTAAACAAATATGCATGGTCATAAGGAATCGTTATCAACTTAAAAACAACAATAGAAGTTCTTTCATGTAGGAAGTAACCAGGGACCAAATTATTTATTAACCAAACCAAAGTTTCCACCAAAAGGATTGTAGGGCTGAAAGATAAACTAGAAAGATTTAAATACCCCTGGTGAGAAATAGCAACATATAGCAGTTGAAGAATCACTGTGATGATATAACAAACAAATCAATACCACTATCCAAAATCCAATTAGAAAAAAAAAATTATGATAGATCTACAATCGTTCAAATTTCTGAAACAACTAAAACCAAAAAACAAATCTCAAAAGCTTCTAAAAAATCGAGACTAAGGACTTAATCATTATCATCATCATTCAGATCATCTTTTTCAATATCTTTTTCAATATCTTCTTCTTCCTTTGTTGATGTACCTTACTCAAACTCACCATCATTGTCATCATAATTTTCATCATCAGAAGCGTTGCATGAGGTGTCACCATACTGGACTGTTTCATCATGTGAACTTGTGGTTGGTTCTTCCATAGGGCTAACGATTTCATTTACTACAATGTCATCCTCTTCAAAAGCATCATCGTTTGTCTTATTATCAGCATTTTTTACATCAATCCATCCATGTGGTTTAACTTTACATACCACTAACCAATCAGCCATGTTTTTATTCATGCTAGGGTATGGAATGTAGCATACTTGAGTAGCTTGGATTGCTAAAACAAATGGCTCGAACTTCTTGAACTTTCTTCGTTTTTTATGTCAACCAATTTATATTGGTTATGGACCTTGACTCCGACATCAGGAGTTGGATCACACCATTCACAGTTGAACAAGACTGTGCTTTTAATTGGCAAACCAGGATATTCAACTTCTAATATTTCCAACAACCTACCATACTAATCGCAAGAGTCGCTACTTATACAAACTCCACTATTCATGGTCGATTTGTTAGCACCATGAGATTTTGTATGAAACTTTTAACCATTGACATAGTAGACGTTATATAATTTCACCGTCCTTATTGGCCTTCTTGAAAGATCATGTATATACTTGTTCTTTATTTGATTTTGACGTGCATATAGTACAGGAAGAGAATTACATTAGAAATCAGTCGACAACAATAATAATAATAATAATAATAATAATAATAATAATAATAATAATAATAATAATACAATCTTGAGCACTTACATAATTCTCAAACCAGGAAGCAAAGTTTGTATCAACTTCTGCCATGAGATCATGTTCGTTTATATCAGGATATAGT